AGGCTCACATTAAACAGCAGTCCACAAGACCAGCTTGTCTTCTTTCTTTCTTTTTTTAACACCCTATTCCTCCCCTCCCTCCGACCCCGGTAACCACTATTAAAACTTTTCTATCCATGCATTTGCCTATTCTGGATATCTCACATATGTGGGCTCATAAGTATTTGTCCTTCCGTGTCTGACTCATCTCACTGAGCAGCATGGTTTTGAGGTTCATCCATGTCACGGCATGTATCAGGACTTCATTTCTCTTTATGGCTGAATAATGTTCCATTGTACAGAGTTCCTCGGTGGCATAAATGGTTAAGCGCTAACCAAAGACTGGCAGTTCAAGTCCACCCAAAGATGGCTGGGAAGAAAGGCCTGGTGATCCACTTTCAAAAAATCAGGCATTGACAACCCTATGGAGCACAGTTCTACTCTAACACATATGGGGTTGCTCCGAGTCAGAATCAACTCCACAGAAACTGGTTTGATTTTTTGGTATATATGCACCACATTTTGTTTATCCATTCATTTGTTCATGGGCATTTAGGTTGTTTCTACGTTTTGGCTGTTGTGAATAATGCTTCAATAAACATTGGTATACAAGTATCTGTTTGAGTTTCTGCTTTCAAATCTTTGGGGTACCGCTGGGCCCAAGACCGGTATCTTAGTCATCTAGTGCCGCCATAACAGAAATACCACCAGTGGATGGTTTTAATGAAGAGAAATTTATTTCCTCACAGTCAAAGTAGGCTAAAAGTCCAAATTCAGGGCGTCAGCTCCAGGGGAAGACTTTTTCTCTCTGTCGGCCTTCTCATCAATGTTTCCCAGGACTAGGAGCTTCTCAGCGCAGGGACCTCAGTCCAAAGGATGCTTTCTTGATGCTCTGAGGTCCCCCTGTCTTACTGCTCACTTCGGTCTTTTATATCTCAAGAGATTGCCTCAGGACACAATCCAGTCTTGTAGATCAGGTCCTGCCTTACTAACACAACTGTCACCCATCCTCCTTCATTAACATCATAGAGGCAGGATTACAACATACAGGAAAATCACACAGTAACAGGAATCATGGCCTAGCCAAATTGATACACACATTTTTGGGGGTACGTAATTCAAACCATTACAACTGGCCTTTCTGAAACAGCCCCTGCCTTCTAGGCATTACCCCCTTCCTGACCGTGGAACTGGCCAATTTAGTTTGAGGAAAACCTCAAGTCTTGGACTCTCTGAGATTTGCTTTACATTTTCTTATTATTTTTTGAATGCTTCTCCTTTACCATTGTGGTTACAAGGAAGGGCTAAATATCAGGGTTCGGGGTGTTCATGACACTCAAGAGCTGCCCTCAGCACAGCTGATGAGTCCCAGCTATATGGGTCTGCTCTGACGAACCAGAGACCCTTCTCTCACATATAAAACATCAGGCCAGATAATGCGCAGGATGACGACCTTCGACTAAGCCGTTTTGGAGAAATGCTACCACAGCGAAAACCTGGGCAAATCAGGAAGGAGAAGCCATTCAAGCTGCAGTATTAGCCGCTGTCAATCCTCTAGACAGGGCTAGCAGGGCACACCCTGCACAGGAGAATGGGCTGTGGCCCCCATGAGGAGGTGGCGTATCCCTGCTGCCCTCTGTAGGACAGGGACGGAGGAAGGTCAGCTTTCTCAAAGACTGTGGGTCAAAGTTTGTAAAGACCAAATGGGCACTGGTCAAAGAGTAAGGGCCACAACAGCAAAAGGGCCCTGACGCAGATATGTTCACACCTGTTCTCAGAATCTGAGCTGCAGCACAGAGTATAGAAAAGGAGTCCCATAAGTGATAACGTGAGTCCCTAGGTGGTACAAACAGTTAAGAGCTCAACTACCAGCCAAAGGTTGGTGGTTCAAACTCGCCCAGAGGTGCCTTGAAGACAGGTCTGGCGATCTGCTTCCGGAAGGCTGCAGCCTTGAAAACCTTGTGGAGCAGTTCTACTCCGCACACTTGGGGTTGCCATGAGTTGGGATCAACTGGACAACAACTAACAACAAGTGATCAGAAGGGCTTATCTTCAGGACACGCATCAGTGATAAAAATGCCAGGCACTGAAAATTCCATTGCAAAGAAATGAGTTCTAGTCAGCTGCTTGTCTGTCTTTTATGTCTATGGGCATCTCTCAGACTTCACCCTGAGTGCTGGGGAGGATTGCAGCAAATCTACTCACTGAGGTTGGTGGTTTACAGCCAGGCAGAGCTGGGGGCATACCAGGCTCCTGGGCTGGGCTCCTGGGCCAGGCTGATGTTCCCCAGGCAAATTTGGACAGCAAATAGTGAAATCAATTGTTCGTTTCCCTAAAGTACTGATGATTTCTAAATTCCAATCAGATGGCCAAGTCAATCCATAAATGCATTAGGGAAATGTCAGCAAAAGACACACAATGAACTCTGTCCCTGCTGACAGTCAGACTGCTGATGGTGAGCAAAATGGCTCACAGTGAATGCCCTTAGAAACAGCTAGGCTGATAGGGTTGTGAATACCCCCCCAAAAAGCAGGCCTCAGGGCCCCAGACAATTTGCCAGCCTGTGTGCTCTACCTTTTCCTGACAGAGAACAAAGGGCAGGACAAATAGGGGCAGAAAGGGCCCAACAGTCCAGAGAAACAAAGCACAAGATAAACATCTCCCGACTCCAGCCCAGGGAACTATTAAACAAAGGAAATGGGAAAATCCAACTGCCACTCTCGGAAGATGTACCCTGCACCCAGAGTAACGTAACACAGACAGAGACAGCGCTTCCTGCGCCTGCCCCACACACACCCGGCAACAGTGCCTGACTGTGGTGCCTCCAGCCCCAACCTCCGCCCATGCGGCTCAGAAGAGGCTGGCCCCCTCCACACTCCACAGCACCCCGTGCCCCTGGCCAGGGACAGCTCAGGCTTGGCCACGCCACCCCATGGAGCCAAGAAGGCTGGGCCCAGGAGTTTCATGGGAACTGCTGAGAAAGAAGTCCCCTCCTTTCGCTGGGGGAGCAAGGCTGAGGTGGGCGTAAACCTAGAGCTGCTTGGGGGCCATCCTGACATGGGGTGAGGAAGAAAGGGACCAGAGACAGCAGGGACAGATGCTTCATTCAGGCACTGGACCAACAGTCCTGAAACTAAGGATTTTTTTGTTACACGAGTAATAAGGTCCTTTTGGGCTTAAGCCAGTCTGAGAAGGGTTTGTCACTTCCAACTAAAAAAAATCCCGATTAAAGCCCCCCCCCATAAAGCCTGAGGGTTTATTACGTCTCCGTTATCAGTCAAGTGTAGATCACCTACTCAGAATGTGTTTGCATACCCTACCAATTTACTTTTGCGATTGTTCATAGCATGGGGGTTCCAGGGAGCATGCTGGGGCTTGACCTTGGGAAGGGCAGGCCAGCCAGGGCCTCCCCTGCCCTCTCTCTGAGCCCTGACTGCCCGTCCTCCGGCAGGACCCAGCCCCATCACAGCTCTCAGAGGGGAGACCCAACAAGGCCCCACCGGTTTGGCCCCAGGACCACCCCTGAACTCAGCAGGGGGATTCTCCAAGGACTGCTGTGCTGCCACAGGCCTCACCCTAATCGCCTGCTCTCACTACTGATGGCAATGAGGGAACAGCGAGAGCTGGGTGACGCACGTCTCCTAGACAGTAAAGGTGGGGCTGGCCAAGGGCTGCAATGTGGCCCGTGAGCATCCACCAGTCATATACTCTGCCCCTTAATGGACATCAAAGTAACCCAGGACACTCTGATTCTCTCAGTGCAAAATCGGGATCAGAAGATTCCAGAGGCAGCCTACGGGGAGTGCTCAACTAGACCCGGGCTCTGTCCCTGCTCTGCCCCTAACCAGGGGAGTGGACCCTGCCCCCTCTGACCTTCTCCAGTTTTACTCTCCGATCTGTTAACGACTACGGTGCTGCTGGAAGCAAAGCTCCTTCACGCCTATGATCAATTTACACTCACAACAACAGTGCGAGAAAAGGGGTATCACGTCTACCTGCCATGGTTTGGCGGGTAAGGCACAGGTCTGGACTGCACGTGCCTGGCTCTGCCCCTCACCAGCCAGGAGCCCGCCTCTAGGCCTCTACCCCTGTAGAAACGGGGAGTGGCAGCCACTGCAGGAGGTTCCTGCAAGCACTGAACATCTGTAAAGAACTGAGCTCCGCGTCCGGGAGGCGGTCAGGCCTCAATAATGTTGGCTATTGGCATCATTCTTACAAGTGGGGAGCCTGGGGGTCTCTCAAATCCCTTCCATTGTAAGTAAGCCTCTGAGATCTGGGCCCCTATAGTGCTCACGGAGCATGAAAGCTGTCGGAAATAAGGCCCACCTCCACCAAAGACCGCTTGCAACCCACGGTGGGAAGGAAGGGGTCACATGAAGAGGGAGTCCACTCTGCTGCCCCACAGGCCACACAGGGACACCAGATGCATTCTCTACCCAACCCAGCACCCAGCCCCTTTGAGGGCCTTGTGGCTTTCATCTGGGATGGTTACCCTGAATTCAAAGTGACAGCTTGATAAACAGAATCCACTGTCCTAAAGTGCAGTGCTAATCTTTGGCAGGGAGGTGATTCTTCAAAGCCAAACCAGTGGGGGTACGGTAGAGCCAGAGCCCTGGGATGTGACGCAACAGTGTGAGAGGCAGTTAGACTTCCCGGGTTCAAATCCCAGCCCGTCCACTTTCTAGCTCTGTAACTTCTCTGAGTGAAGTCTGCTCATCTGTAAACATAGTCTTAATTCCTAGGATTCAGCAAGCTGGCATCCTCAGCTTTCTGAATAAATGGTGCCCAGGCCACAGCAAAGACTAGGCAAGGGTATCAGGCTTAGCTATTCCCATCACTGGGGACACCTGCCCAGCGTTCTGAATGAGCCCCTGCTCCTCCTCCCCCCAGTGCCCTCGACTCCTCGCCGGGCCACGCCAAGGGTTGCTTTCTGCTTGTCGCAAAGCCACGGGGACTCGGCAGAGGCTGCAGTGATTCTGCACTGCTGACTCCGTTAAGGAGGACTGGGTATAGATCCTTACCGGTAGGTTGCCACCTCCAGGCTGAGGCCATTCTTCACCTGCAGGAGCTCCTGATAGTCCCGCAGCCGGTCAGTCATGACCAAGGTGAGGGCTTCCTTCTCATCTTCCAAACAGTCAATCACTCTCTAAAGAGAAAAGAAGGGCATTAGAGCCGAGAAGGGGGCTTTAGATCCGAGAAGTGGGGCTTTGCTGGGTCAAACTCAGGGTACTAACAATACAGGACACAAAAGAAGATGAAAACCCTCCAGGCTAATTAAAGACATAGTTATTTGTAAGGATTTGTGTATCTCTTTGTCTCAGTCATCTAGTGCTGCTATAACAGAAATACCACAAGTGGATGGCTTTAACAAAGAGAAATTTATTCTCTCACAGTCGAGTAGGCCACAAGTCCAAATTCAGGGTGTCAGCTCCAGGGAAAATTTCTCTCTTTTGGCTCTGGAGAAGGTCTTTGTCATCAATCTTCCCCTGGACTAGGAGCTTCTCTGCACAGGAACCCTGGGTCCAAAGGACACGCTCTGCTCCCAGCACTGCTTTCTTGGTAGTATGAGGTCCCATGTCTCTCTGCTCACTTCTCTCTTTTATATCTCTATCTCAAAAGAGACTGGCTTACAATACTATCTAATCTTGTAGATCTCATCAATATAACAGCCACTAATCCACCTCATCGCTTCATAGTGATAGAATTTACAACACGCAGGGAAAATTATATCCATCACAAAATGGTAGACAACCACACAATACTGGGAATCATGGCCTAACCAAGCTGACACTATTTTGGGGGAACACAATTCAATCCACGACACTCTTCCATATAAAAGGTTATTTTTTATTCCATATGGGAGATTTTTGATAGGACCCTGGCTTCTCTGTTCTTCCTTGCTAATAATAATGAATGCTTAGGAGTTTATCAAAGTCGTCTCTGCTGTTCAGACATCAGTCTGCTTAGGAAGGCCAACACACCAAACTGGTCAACCAAGATACCACTGAAAATAATACTAGAGAGTGGGGGTTTTTACAATATTTAAAACCGAACTCACTCAGATTTGACATAGAATTTCCCCCAAGCTCATGATTTCCTCCGATAATAAGCAGGTAAGCAGATACAGAGTTCTTTTCTTTGCTTCACCTCTTCTAAGCTACTTTAAAATCATCTGGAGAGAAAAGCTACATTAATGAGACAGTAATATATTCTGCCACCACCCGTCTGTCAGTTTGTCACACTGTGTTGGCTTGCATGTTGCTATGACGCTGGGAGCTATGCCACAGGTATTCAAATACCAGCAGGGTCACCCACGGTGGACAAGTTTCAGGAGAGCTTGCAGGCTAAGACAGACTAGGAAGAAAGGCCTAGTGATCTATTTCCAAAAATCAGGCAATGAAATCCTATGGATCACAACAGAATATTTTGTCCGATATAGTGCTGGAAGATGAGCCCCCTAGGTTGGAAAACCAAAACTAAACCAGACCATTGCTGCCCAGTCAATTCTGACTCATAGGGACCCGACAGGCCAGACTAGAACTGCCCCAGAGGGTTTCCAAGGAGTGGCTGGTGGATTTGAACTGCCCACCTTTTGGTTAGCAGCCAAGCTCTTCACCACTGTGCCACCAGGGCTGCTAGGTTGGAAGACACTCAAAATACACAGTGGCCACAACAATAAACTCAATCATACCAATGATAGTAAAGATGGCACAGGACTGGTCAACATTTCATTAGGTGTCCATGGGATCTCCAAGAGTCACAGGTGGCAACTAACAGTAGCAATATATTCTGGGCATAAATGTCAAAACTCAGACCCAGAGGTGAACTTCCTTTTTTAGTGTACTTCCACACTGTAGTTAGTAACTGTCCCTCAGCACTTGTTCAGGTCGCCATCACAGCCATTATCACCATTCCACTCAGAACACCTGGTCAATTACCCCTCCTCCTCTTTCCCGGGTTGGGAGGACACTGGAGGGCAAGAGTCCCACTGCTTTTCGTCCCAGCCTCTGGTACGGTGCCTTCCACATACAAGTTACACAATACCTATTTGGTGAACTGAATTCATAACAAAATGATCGAGATAATATTACCCTCCTTGAGATTTAATCATTTTAAACTGGAAATATCCTTTCATTAATACACATTGGCTTCATTTTTAGCACTTGTCCATCTTCTTCCTGTTAGCCAGTACTCCCAGGAATAATCAAAAGGGCAAATATTTAAACACTGGAGTGAAGTCTACACACTTTAACTTTTGTATAAAGAGCTTTTAATAACTTCTGATTTTTAATGGAAAATGGTATTGTTTCTGAATACAATTAACTACACTAGGATGCCCTTTTAAACATTTATCTTTTTATGAATTCAAAAACTGTAAAATAATCGGGAGAGGGACTATCTTCATTCCTTTTGTAATTTCTCTGTCAAAGGCACCTGGCAAGAAGCTGAAGTTCCATCATAAATATGTAATGTTGTCAAACCAAGGAATGCACTTAACCAAGATTTCACAGTATACCAAGCACTGGACCTATCACTAAAAAAAATGATCTATATGGAAGTAGTTTTGCTTCTCGTAACAGTCTATTTCTGAGCTAATAACTGTTAGGATCTTTTCGTATAAAAGTCTGCTAAACACAAAAACTCAAAACTACTTAGCTTTTAAAGCAAAGCAGCAAATTTAAGTACCGATGGCTAATGTCCCATGTGTAACAGACCTCAAATCTGGCATTATCCATAGATAAAACCTATAAACCTATTGCCATCAAGTTGATTCCAACTCAGTAATCCTACAGGACAGAGTAGAACTGCCCCATAGGGTTTCCAAGGAGTAGCTGGTGGATTCGAACTGCCAACCTTTTGGTTAGCAGCCAAGCTCTTAACCAC